GCCCAGGAGCCAGTCAGAACCTTCCCTGGCATCCTTGGCCCGCGAACCAGAGAGACCCAGTGTTTCCTCCTTTCTGTGTGGAGTTCCTTCTAGGCCCCCAGAGAGGTGATTGGTCCATGGCACGAGGCAGAGAGAGTGTCCCAATGGCTCTCAAGTCCTTGGTTCCAGTTGTCACTCATATATAAAAAGGGATTTTAAAACATAGTCTTGTGAGCTTAGGGGTTTTCTATCACCAGCTCCCATAATCTGGCGCAGTTATGGAAAAATGTACCGGGCACTTATCACACGTGTTGCTAGTTAGCCCTGAACATACAGAGCTGACAGCACACATCACAATCCAGTTGAGTCTTGTGCAGGGGCAAGGGGTTGTGGAAGCCCCAAGATTAGTGCCTGCTCTAATCAGGGATGGGTGGAGTCAGGTTCAGGAAAAGTTTTCTGGAGATGGATTTTGGAATGCTGAGTAGAGATTGTATGGGCAGGCCTGAGGAATCATTTCAGGCAAAGAGAACTTTCTGAGCAAAGGCAGGAGGATGGTCTGGAACTGTGAATGAAGAACCATGACCAGTTTAAGAACGAGGTGTGGGGCGGTGCTATGACACCAGCATCCTATCTGGGCGTCGGTTTGAGTCCTGGCTGCTCCACTTCTGATCCAGCTCCTGCCACACTGCCTGGGAAAACAGCAGAAAATGGCCCCCAAGTACTTGGGCCCCTGCCACCCATGTGGGAGACCCCGGATGGAATTCCTGTCTCCACTCTGGCCGTGCAGCCATCTGGGGAGTACACCAGAGGATGGAAGATATTTGCCTCTCTGTCTCTCCCTCTCTCTTTGTACCTCTTCCTTTCAAATAAATAAATAAATTATTATTATTATTATTATTATTTTTGAAGACGGAGGTGCATGGCTATAACTGGGACTGAAGGAGCAGGAGACAGAGGGCCTTGAGGACATCACTTTTTTCTTAAGAGTCACGTGCGTTGAAAAAAACAACAAAACAATAAGCCTGGATCTCTGATTCTCCCCCAAATAGCTGCCTATCTGGCAAGTTCCCACTAACAGCCCTCCCTTGAACAGAAAATTTGTCTTTGGATTGAAATGAGTGTTTAAAAAACAAACCTGTTCTGCTTTAAATACCAAAATCTGTTTAAATAACACAGAGGTTACGACATCTGTTGACAAAGCCAGGGAGTTCAAAAGCCCTGCGGCCTGCACACTGCATTGAGGTCTGCTGTTGTTGGCATCCCTGGGCCTGCAGCAGGGCCTGGGGTTTGTTATTCGGGTCTGTGTGGAAGGAGACATTCCTCAGATGACAGGACCCTTTCTTCTTTGGGAAAAGAAAATCCGTGTTTTTAAAATGCTTTGTGAAAGCAAGAACAACAATGGGCAGTGATAGCTATTACTTATGTTTTCTTGCGTGGCAGATTCCAAGAGTAACATGAAGTCTTTTTCATGGGCAGATTTGAGCTATTTTAGAGATTCTTCCCCAATGTTTGTATCTTTATTGACCTTTTGTAGGGTAAAATGTACTGTCTTTGAGAGACTTTGGTGCCTGGGGCAATGTTACTGCAGCAAAGGTGGCTGGAGACGTGGAAGGAACTGGAGCACTTAGTGGCCCTTGGAAGCTATTTGCAGTAGGGGCCTTTATGCCTGGGACCTGACTCAAGCCTGGAATGCTTGGAGCTTGGAGTGAGAAGCACTGGGTTGATTCCCACTGCTCAGATGGAGGCATTGCTGGGGAAGCAGGAGACCCATCCACTGACCAGTCAACAGTGGGGCAAGTGGCATCACCCTGGAAGCTGTGGAGTGTGAGGTCCTTGGCGCTCTTTCAGAAGCCCAGTGCCAGGAGAGGGGAGAGGGCTAGGGTCTGGGAGCCTCTCCCACCCAGGTGTGTCTGTTCTCAGAGGCTGTGGAGGTGCAGCTGGATGGCCACTTCTGCTGTATCAGGGCATACTCCAGATGTTCCTTGACCTACACTGGGGCTCTGGCCTGATAAACCTATCAGAAGTATCGCGATTTGAAAATGCGTGTAATACTCCTGACCTACTGAACAGCCTAGCTTAGCCTCACCTACCTTAAACATGCTCATAACACTTACAGTAGCCTGCAGTTGGGCAAAATCATCTCACACAAAGCCTATTTTCTAATAAAGTGCTGAATAGCTCATGCAATTTGTTAAATACAGGACTGAAAGTAAGAAATAATGCTTATGTAGGTAGTCACGGTTAACATACACAGCTGGCAGTGCACTGGGCCTAGAGCATGTTTGGAGCATTGAACTAGAATTAACCACTGGATGCTTGAGTTGCTGCAGTGACAGGGTCATTAGTTTCTGAATGGGAGCTGCCGCTGGCCAACATCACAAGAAAGCATCAGACCACCTATCGCAAGCCCAGGAAAAAAGCAAAATTCAAAATTCTGAGTATGCTTTCTATGGAATATGTGTTACTTTTGCACCATCGTAAAGTCGGAAAATTTGAAGTTGAACCACTGTGTCAGAAACTATCTGTCGTTAATGTCAGCTGTGAAAGTGGCAGGTGGGATGCGGGGTCAGAAATCAAGGTTGTGGTTGGTACTCAAATAGAGTGACTTTCTGGAAGAGCAGTCCTAGCACTCTGGGACCGGGGTCAAGGCTCCAGTCATGAGGCCAAGGACTGGCCATAGACCCCTTCCCCAGGTTGGCCGTCATGGCCAAGTGTGGAACACTGAGAGGGAGACCAGTGCAGCTGAAGAGTCAGAGCCAAACCAAGGTCCTGTTCTGTGGGCTGTGTGGCTTTGGGTGATCGGGTGCAGTGAGAAGGAAGCCAAGGGGCCAAGGCTGCTCCCATGGTGCCAACCTCGGTGCCAGTACTGAGGGCTCTGTGTCCTAGGTCTCACCATCAGGAAGCCCCTGGTGTCAACAAGTGTCACCCTCAAGGCATTCCCAACACCACTGCTTATTAAATGAAGGTGGAGGCTTAACCTACTACACCACAGTGTCTGCCCCAATTGTTTTAAAAGTTGTGCTTCTACACATACATCTCCAAGATATAACAGAATCACAAGTGACCTTTCTTTTCTTACTTTATCCTCCTTTTTTGAAAGACTTTTAAAAATTTATTTGAAAGGCAGAGTTAGAGGGAGAGACAGAGACAGATCGCTTATATGCAGGTTCACTCTTCAAAAGGCCACAACAGCCAGGGCCTGGACAGGACAAAGCCAGGAGCCAGAAATTGGATGAGGACAATGAGAGTTAAAGGCCACCCCCAGCTAGAAGCTCCGGGTCCAGGGGCCTTCAAGTCAGGGTTAACTTCTGCAGTCAGGGTTGGCTTTGTGCTTTACAGAAAAACAATGGGGAAGCTGATGAACTGACTCACTGCTTCCAAAACCAGACACCTGCGGTGCAAGGGGATTAGATTTGAGGTCCACTTCATTTGTGATCATAGATGTAGAAGTGCTAAATTAAATGTTCAGCTAGAAAGGGGAGAGACAGACAGCTGTCATTCATCATGGTCTTTAAGGAAAAACTCACCGTTGGTCCCTTTGAGAAGTTTCTTTTCATCTCTCTGGTTTCTCCATCATTCTTGCCTCTGAAGACGGTGGGTTGTTTGTTTGTTTGTTTGTTTTGCAATCAAGGCTTTTGCTGTAGGTCAGTGAAGCAGGGGAATCAGAAAGGGACCCCAAGTGGGCAAATTACAAAGTCCCCCAAATCTCACAAGGTTTAGACGCTGAAGGTTCTGGGTTGATGGTTCCAGATTCCTCTGTTGACATGAGATGAAGGATGGCAAATAAGTGAGGATGTCACGCACACTGTCCTCCTGACACCGGCTTGCTGCTCTGTGCCCAGCCAGGAGGCGCGATGAGGTCCCCCAGGCAGGGCCCTTAGGTGAGATGTCAGCTGATGTTTGAGGACCTACAGCTGGAGTCGCTATCATCTCCAGAGTGCGAGGAAGCACGGTCTTCAGGTCGCCTTCCTTGTAGGGGCTGCTGTGACCTGCGGGATGCAGAACTCTGGAAACACAGAACATCTTCTCTATTATTTATTTGAAAGACAAAGAGCCAGAGAAGGATAAGATAGACACAGAGACAGAGATATTCCACCTGCTGGTTCACTCCCCCAAACACTTATAACAGCTGGAACTTGGCCAGGTTAAGCCAGGAGCTGAGAACTCAATCCAGGTCTCATGTGGGTGGCAGAAACCCAAGTACTTTAGCCATCACCCCTGCCTCCCAGCACGCACATTAGCAGGAAGCTAGAATCCAGAGCAGAGCAGGGACTCCATCTGAGGCACTCCCATGTGGGATGCTGGCATTGTAAGCATCTAAGGACTCTGCCAGATGCCTGGCCCACATCTGGAGCAGGTGTGTCCAGTGTGGACAAAATTGGGCCATTGGTCCACACACATGCTTAGTGCCAGCTGCTCACATGCACCTGTCAAGTCAGAGTCCTGTGGCAGCCATTCATGAGACTTCTGGAATATCCAACTCATGTAGGGGTAACCTCTTCTCTCTCTTTTGGCTTCTAGGTATTCAAATAAGTAACTCATGATTTAACTGCTCCCTTGCCCAGGAAGCATGTGGTGTCTGAGGATGTATGTTGTGGCCTAGAAAGATGAGGGCATTAGGAGAGGTGCTTAAGAAGTGTCTGGAGGCACCAGGGATAGGTTAATGAGCACCCTGACCTTGGAGATGAGTTCTGCCCTGCGGAGTTAAGATGGAAATGAGTGTTCTTAATATACCTGTTCCCTGGAGAGAGATGAAGGAGCTGTTGGCTGTGCGCCTTGCCTTTTGATGAGTTTGGAAGTGAAATGATTCTTTGACGAGTGCTGCCTTCAAAACAGACGAGACAGTAGCGTTTTCCACACCAAAGGCTTTGTTCACAGACAGCACTAAATACAGGGGACTGTAACGCGGGGAAAAGGACAGCGTGCAGGGAGATGCTGCTGTCAGATCCGAGCCAGGGAGAAATGACGCAGGAGGTCGCGAGTCCTGCTGCCCTGATGACCTGTTGCCATTCTCTCTGCAGGTGGTCACAGCTGCTCTGTCCCTCTTGCTGTTTGACATGAAGCTGACCAGGGCGACTGTGGGGTGGTAAGTCTTTTGCACAGAGGGAAGAGAAGCAAATCTGTGTTTGGGTGTCATCAGAATACTAGCTTTGCGCTCAAACAGTGAGGAAAGGGTTTGTGTAGGGTGCTGTCTCCACCCGGAACCAAATTCCATGTTAGTGAAGCCATCTTTATTTTTTAAATAAGAAATTCTCTTGTTGACATGTAAATCTGCATTCTGAAGAGTGCATATGTCATCAGCATACAACTTGGTGATTTGTCACCCATGGAACCTTCCATGCACACCGTAACCAGACCAAGAAACGTCTCAGGGCACCTTTCCGTTGTTGCTGATGCCTTCCCCCTTCCCTGAACTGTCGTGTCTGTCTATCTTTTGGTATCCAAAGGGGAGTGATTCCAGGGCTCCCTGCAGATACCAAAATCTGAGGGTGCTCAAACCTCTTGTATAAGAAGTGCAGTATTTTCAAATAACCCATGCCTGTCCTCCTGCATGTTGTAAACCATCTCTAGATTACTCACAATACCTAATGCGATGTAACACTATGTAAGTGGGTGCTGTACTGTGTTGTTTAGGGAATAATGACAAGAAAAAAGAAACTGTATGTGTTTGGTGCAGGTGCAATTGTATTTTTTTCTGGATTTTTGTCAATGGGCACATAGTTGAATCCATGGAGGTGAAATCTACCTTTATATATGTATGACCAGCTGTACTCATATATTTGTGGTGTGCATGTGTGTGTATGTGTGTGTGTGTGTATATGTACAGGCCAGCTGTACTCATAACTGCACACATATATATCTACAACCTGTATGTATTTACACTAGGAATGAAATGAAGCCATCACGTGGGTGTTACCTCCAAACACTGCACAAGGCTCTGCCCATTGGAGAGCTGACCAAGTGACAAATCTATATTCCAGATTAGTGACCTTCAGACCAAGGATGTGACGGTCACCAAGGGTTTTGATTGTTGTCTGCAGGGGAGGTGGAGGTCATGGAGAGTAACCTGGTAAAACTGCTCGGCTTGTGGCTGCTCTCATCGGTGGGTGTGCTTTAGCTCAGCATCTATATGGTTAGGTATTTTTAAATAGAGTAATAAGAGTACATGCTATTGGTATGAGGCATAAAACAACACAGAAACACAGCAGGAAGGAAGTACAGGACTCTCGGCCTCTGTTCCATCAGTCACCTCTTGGCAGCAGCAGCCCCAGCTTAGCTGATCCATGAGAACAGTGCAATGTTTGATCAGGGAGGTGTGTTGCAAGCAAGGTGAACTCTGGGTGTTCTAGGGAGGGATTGGATTTGGGGGTCCCAGCCATGGCAGGGTCTTTCAGATGAAGCCACACTCAGTGGTGCGTGCCAAGCAAGGTGCACTTTTTATCCCTCGTGAATAGCTTAGTGCTTGGTGAGTCTTCATCTGGCCTCCAGGCTGTGGGCTGGCGCCACGTGGCTCTCCTCCCCTGTGAACGCGGGCACTGCCCGGCGGCACGTGCAGAATAGTGCATGTTTGTTGTTGCTGTTTGCTGTTCTCCTTTCTTCTGAGGAGAAGAGCAAGCCCAGGGCCACTGCGAGACGATGCTTGTTTCCATGCTGGGTTCAGCCTGCCCCTGGGCTTCGAGCCCCATGACTACAGTGAAGTGCAGACAAGGGCTGGGAGAACTTTTCACATTTCTTTCTAGTATTATGGGGAAGGAAAAGGCATATTGTTGCTTAGCTTTGCTCCTGATTCTAGAAAATAAGTATTTTCTTTTTTTTCCCCTAAAGATTTATTTATTTGAAAAAGAGAGAGAGAAAGAGAGAGAGAGAGAAAGAAAGAAACACAGAGATCTTCCATCCACTGATTCATCCCCCAAATGTCCTCAGTAGCTGGAGCTGTGCTGATATGAAGCCAGGAGCCAGGAGCTTTTTCTGGGTCTCCCACTTGGGTGCAGGGGCCCAAGCACTTGGGCCATCTTCTACAGCTTTCCCAGGCCAAAACAGAGAGCTGGATCAGAAGTGGGGCAGCCGGGACTCAAACTGGTGCCCCTATGGGACGCCAGCATTGCAGGCAGCGGCCCTACCGGCTAAGCCACAGCGTTAATCATTTATTGAGCAGCTGCTAAGCTTCAGACATTTTTATGTAAATGTCTCATTCACTTTTACAATAACCCTCCAAGTTATCTCACATTTTTTTTTAAAAGGTTTATTTATTTGAAAGAGTTACAAAGGGAGGGTGGGAGAGAGAGAGAGAGAGAGAGAGAGAGAGGTCTTCCATCCACTGGTTCACTCACCAAATGGCCACAATGTCCGGAGCTGAACCAATCTGAACCCGAGAGCCAGGAGCTGCTTCCTGGTCTCCCACACAGGTACAGGGGCCCAAGCACTTGGGCCACCCTCTGCTGCTTTCCCAGGCGCATTAGCAGAGAGCTGGATCAGAAGCGATGCAGCCAGGACTCGAATCAGCACCCATATGGGACACCGGTGCTGCAGGCTAGGGCTTTAACTCACTGCACCGCAGTGCCGGCCCCTTTATCCCACATTTCACAGATGAAGATACTGATGTTTAAGTGATTTTCCCAAGATTCTCTAAGTATTAGGATTCAAATCGAAGTCTCTGTTGCTCTGAATCCCCACAACCTACCAGGATCAATTTAGCATATGCTAAGAACTTACCTGTGGTATAGCCCGTGTACAGGTAAAAGCTCATGGGGTATAAGGGAAATGGGCCTAAATGTTCTTTCCGCCAGAATGTCCGTCTATAAAAAAGTATCTAGATGATTCGACAGATAGCAACATTACCTGGGACAAGACAGTTTTAATTTTTGTTATTTTTGTTCAGGGGCTGATTTCATGCACTAAGACTATCCAGTGGAAGATTTTTAGGAAAATATAAATCTCTCCTTAGATTTTTAGCACTATTGCTGTAATTCTATTAATCATTTAAAATATTTATCAAATGACTGCCGTATGCAAAATGTGCAAGAGATAATCATAAGTGTAAGACATCATTCAACCTTCGAGGAGTGTTGAGGAGAAACGAAAGATTTAAAGGAATGTGTGGGATGGGCAGGGTAGGAGCACTCTGAATGCCCAGTGAATGTGAAGACTGAACAGGAAGAGAAGGCGGGAGGAAGTAGGGCCTTGCACCTGGTGTGGACCTGGGCCTTATGCAGAAGGGAGAGGCTTGTCAAGGCTGAGGGATGGAAGAATACTTGACCTCTGTCGCCCAGCAACAGGACAGAGGCCAGAAGTGCCAAGGGTGAGCCCTAGTGATTTGTAGTTAGAGTTGGGCAGTGGGGACAAGGTGCTAACCCTTTGCTTCCTTCTTGTGCATCTGGCCTGGACAGGGATATCACAGATGATGGGCATAGCTATGTCTGAAAAACACCCGGCCAAGAGAGGGGGAGCAGCTGTCAGTATATGAAGGCACTTGAAGGAGTTCCTGGGGCAGGTGTTTGGCTGGGCAGTTAGGATGCTGTTGGGGGCACCCACATCCCATGTTAAGAGTATCTGGATCCCAGTCCTGGCTTTGCTTCCTATTCTAGCTTTCTAATAATGCACAGTCTCGGGGGGCAGCAGAGTAATGGCCCAAGGACTTGGGTTTCTGCTACCACATGGGAGACCTGGATTGAATGTTGGACTCCTGGCTTTGGCCTGGTCCAGCACTGGCTGTTGTGGACATTTGGAAGTGAACCACCACAGGAAAGATCACTCTCTTGTCTGTCTCTGTCCCTCACATAAAATGAAAAGTTAAAAATAAATTTTTTAAAAATTCCTAAAAAATGGAATTAAAATATAAATTTGTTGTTTAACAAAAGTATCTGAACTCCATGCATATCAGGGGTCTTCAAAAAGTTCATGAGAAGTGCATATTATAAAAAATATGCATGGATTTCAAAAATCATTTTGTACCAAAAGTGACCTTTTGATTCCATTTTCCATGAACTTTTTGAAGCAGCCTCATATTCTTGAGACTTCTCCCCTAAGTCTGAGTCCTTAACCTTCACAGCATTAGTCTAAATTCTTGACAGTATTTTTCTTTCTTATAAACAAGGCTTCATCAACCAGAATTTCAAAATGAACCAGAGAAACCCAGTTGTTGAAATGGGCGTGAGAAAAAAGAACAAGGCAGTTGTCCATTGGCAAGGGAATGAGAAGTCAGAGTGTCGGCGAGGCGGCCGGCCGCGAGGGGCCGTGTCTCCGGGCTGTTTCACATCCTGTTAACTTGATGGTATACACTGGACAAAATGGAAAGAAAGGCTGTGTGTACCCAAATCAAGGAAACAGCATGTGTGATTATTGCAAAAGGAACCTTGACTTTGGAATTTCCTGATTTTTTTTAGAACTCTTGAGGTTAAGGATGGTGTGTTTTCAGCCCCAAAGAATTTTCCAGCCACCAAGTGAGCCAGCTGAAGACGGGTGTCAGGCTGTCCTTCACATGTTCTCTCCCATACAGAGCTGGTCTTCTGTGCACTGGGTGTGTCCCCACGTGGCCAGGTCCTGGACAGGAACAGGCCAGCCTCGGTGGCCTGGCAGTGTGGACTGAGCAGCGGCTCAAAGGGTGGGGGCGCAGGCCTGTTTTGTTTGGACCCACTGTGTTTGCCTGTGCAGTTATTGCTCCTTGTGTTTTGCTTTTCAAATTCTAAATTAGTCATCAACATTTTGCAACTGGACGATTTCCTTGTACCAGTCCAGATTTCCAGATTCTTTTGAAAATGTGGAGCAGCTGTTAATGTTGGGCCTGCACTCGCATGTGGAGACAGTTGCTAGAACGGATGGAAGCTGCCCTTTCATGTGGGCAGGTGCCCCCAACCCAGCATGATCTACCCCGAGACTGCCTCAGACAGGAGGACTGCTCCAGCCGATGTCCTCTCATTCATTCGTTTGTGCATTCATTCATTCATTCTGCGAGGTTGCGGGGCTGGGCTCTGAGGCTATGGGGGCAAGGTAGATCCAGCCGCTGACCGCAGTGAAGTCACCGTGTGGGGCTCAGTGTCCACTATGCATAATTATCTACTGCTGGGGTGGGGCACGGCTTAGTTGCACGGGGTAGTGCTGTTGGTACTGGGGTCCAGGTTCTTCTTAGCTCTGGGGGGTTGTCTTTTGTCTTGTAGGCTGTCTAACTGCAAACTGATGCCCCTGGCACAACACAAAAACATCTCCAGACCTGGCCAGATGTCCCCTGGGAGGCGAACCGACCCCGACTGGGAATCACTGCTCTCGTGGCCCATGGGGCTGAGTGGAGAAAATGCAGTGTGAAATGTCAGCAAAATCCTAAGGCATTTGCTCACCTCCCAGTTAGAGATTTAGATCAGACCAGAAAACATCAAGTGCTCAGCGTGCCCTCCCGCGGGCCCTGTGTCCCTCCGTGAGCACCTGCCACGTTGAGTCTCTGTTGCCCACCAGGCTGTGAGCAGCTCCAGGAGGGAACCCCATTTCCATCCCTTCCCTTTGATGTCTCTAGGTCTACCCTGAGCGCTTGTTGATGAAACAGCAAGTGGCCAACCTCCTCAGTACTGCAGCCAGGAACAATTAGAGACCCAAGTACCCGGTGTTGTCAATTTTTTAGTCTTTAGTGAAAAGCAACTGCTCTTATCCAGTCAATAATCTGGTTTTTCATTTTAAAACAATCTGTTTCAGGCCCAGGAATTTAAACATCTGGGTTAATCTTTAATTACTCATTCTTGAATTCACTGAGTTTTATGGTGCATCCTGATAATAATTCCCTGGACTTAAAAATTTCACCAAAGGAGATTCAACACAGAAGAGTGAGCTCTGACCTGTGAGCGGGGCCCCTGTATCAGAATTCATCGTGGTGCCTCCCCTGAGAATCCCCTCTTACGGACTAGGAGAGTCTGTCGGTGCCAGGAGAGAAAGGCGCTGAGGATTCGGGGTCAGCGTTATCCCTCTGCCTGTCATCCCTTGAGCCTGTATTGAGCACAGGTCGTCAAACGTGAGATTGACTGATGTCCCTAGGACAAACTTCACCAGCGCCAAGGGCTTGAGAAAATGATCGTTTATCATCCTTGATAGTCTTATCTGATTTTAGGGGACTTTATGGAGACTGGCCAAGCCCGTGTTTAGGAAGAATAAATGTAGGGGTGCAGAAAGAACCTCCAAAATGCTTGTAGGGTCGTGGTGTTTAATACTGATCAGTGCTGCACTTGAATTAGACATTTTGAAACCTCTTGGTCAAAATGCCATGCATGAAGTGCCTTCCCAATGCCTGTTCATTACCTTTCAAATTTTATCATAATCTATCAAATTAGGCGCTGTCGATCCGCAAGGCTCCAGGGGACAAGGATACTGGGCAAAATGCTGTGGTGAAGAAGAAAAGAAAAAGAAAAAGCAAAGACAGGGCAAGGGGAGACAAGGGCGACGATTCCATCATTCACTGAACAAACGGTTGCTGGGTGCCGCCCCGGTGTCGGGCCTGCAGCCAGGACAAGGACCCGGTCTCCCTCCTCGGTCTTGTGGGTTCACTAGGAATTCACTGAACAGCCAGAATAACAAGTATAAAATGTAGCCAGGGCCTTTGCCACCCCCCACCCCCCAAGGAAAAGGAAGGGCTGGAGAGACACTGAAAATAAAGCCAGAGAGGAGAAGTGAGTGATGGATGTCTCTGGACGTGCGCACTCTGCAGTCTGTTTATGCCTTTGTTACATGAAATTTGTTCATTTTGGGAATGACGGCGATTACAAGATTTGCCAACAGTTCAGTCAAGCCCTGGCTTAAATGGTTGTAATGCCATTAGGAGTCCCAGACCCTGTGTCAGCTTCTCTCCTGCTGTTTAAAAACACCATCAAAGCTCCCCTCCCTGGCGCTCTTAACCGTAAACTGAACCAAGGTTTGTTTTCATTTTGGCATTCACTAAGCTGCTTTGGTGTTTAGTAAAATCGCTCAGCCAAAGAGATGAAGCGCAAGGTTATTCACTCCAGCATTGTTCTAACTAAGGCTGTGGGAGTAGAAGTGGCCCAGGGCCAGCCCCTCCCCTGGCTTTCCTGCTGGTGATTAAGGAGGATTAGTGGCAAGTGTGTGAAATGGCTGAGCCCCTGTTCCACTCCCAGACACAACGCCTCTGAAACCCAGAGCTCCAAGCTGCCCGCCCGCCCCACAGCCGTGACTGCACCTGCCCATGGTCGTGAGCAGCCGGCCACTGTGTTGGGGACACTGCGGGGAACAGCATTCTGCTTAAAAGGAAGAGCCCGATCTGTAGAGGCGAGCCATCAGCGAGAAGAGTGGCTTCCCCTTCACAGTCCTCTCTTCTCCAAAGAGTGGAGGCCACGGAGCCTCCAGCGTCTGGGTTGTGAGACGGACGAGCAAGACGCAGGCCCTCGTCCCAGCCTCACACAGGGGCCATGCTGTGCAATGTGGCCCTTCTGAACGTGGAACACTGTTTCTCCCAGAAGCTAGGCTCCATGTGCTAATTACAGACCCAGGAGAGTCCTTAGAAATGTCTTTGGGTCATAGTGAAGACACTAATGCCAGATACATGACTGTGAGTTAAATAGAAACACTTGATTTATTGTGATTCGTAATGTAATTCGGTAGGAAAGGGCAAGTGCATTCTCAGTTGGAGCTTACGATACTCAGTGGGCATCTCGCTTGGCCCTCCATTGCAGTTGCTAGCTGGTTGGTGGGACATCCCCTCCCCCCAGCGACTGGCCCCTGGACCAGTATCACCCTTGTCTTGCCCAGAGCCTGACTGGGGAATTGTCCCAGGCTCTGTTCTCTCTCGGTCCAGAGAGCAGGACTTGGACTTGCAAATGGGGTTACAAGAAGCAGCTGTTGCGTCAGTGTGAGGCTGTGTGTGGGTGTGAGATCACATCTCGGTCCATCCCCAGGGCCAACTCCACTGCTGCCTTCCACACTATCGGGTGCCCAGAGAGCCTTGCTGACTGCGGTGACAAAGCTGCTCATCTGTGGACAGGTGGCTGGCTTTGCACAGCAGGACAGCCTGCCCCTTGCCAGACGCCTTCACGCCACATGTGGGTAGCCGGCCAGCCCCTAGGGCCACCCAGGAGAGGAGCAGTTGGCTAGGAAATCATCAGATTTTATTGGTTGTCCATTACTGGCCAAGCACAGGGTGGGTTGCTTCAGGGACAAGTGTCGCTAAGCCTCCCAGATACTGCTCAACGTGATCATCTCTGTGGCACAGAGAGGGAGACGAAGGCTGCATAACACACAATGAACACTTGAGCCTGAAATTGAACTCGGGTCTGCCTGATTCTGAACACTGTTTTGATATTCTCACACACGGTTGATATGTTATACTGAAAGTAGAAAGGGGTACAAGTTATCCCTAATAGAGTCACCCACCTTGGTGATACTTTTCACTGGGAATATAGCAGGAGCAGCCATCCAGCACCCAAACGTGTTTGAAGTACAGAGGTGCCACGTGTGACTGTGTAGGTGATGGGGTGGTGCGTGGGTGGGAAGAAGGGAAGGGAAGTGTCTAACAGGCGGGCCCTGTGGAACACCAGTTCTCTCTCCAATCACCATCATCGTCATCTCCTTGGGATGGCCCAGCCTGGTCCCCAGAAGGAAGATGGGGTCCAGACACCACACACTACTGAGCTGCAAACGGAGCCTGGAGAGACCTTTGGCCGTGTTCCATTTTAGGCATGTTAAGACATTCAGTTCTCCCTTTTCTCACTGTCTCCAGTTCTCCCACGACTTTTTCACTTTCAAATCCCTGACCACATTTCTTTCCATGCTGGTGGGAATTCAGGATTCTCCCGTTGTGTTTTTACCGTTAAACGTTCTGTTCGTCTAAATGAAGTAAAAAGATCCAGAGACCGTCACCTTAGTAATGCTGAGATGCTGGATCCCTGGGTGATTTCACATCCGTCAACCTCTTCAGCAAAGGCAGCAGAGGACTCTGGGGGAAGCCTTTCCCCGGTGCCAGAGGCCTGAAACCGTTCATGGAGGGCCGGGCACTGGGCCTAGTGGTTACGATGTCTATGTCCCACATCCAGGTAGCTGGGTTCCAGTCCCACTTCCACTCACGACACCGACTTTCTTTCTTTCTTTCTTTCTTTTTTTTTTTTTTTTTTTTGACAGAGTGAGACAGAGAGAAAGGTCTTCCTTTGCCGTTGGTTCACCCTCCAATGGCTGCCGCGTCTGGCGTGCTGCGGTCGGCGCACCGCGCTGATCTGATGGCTGGAGCCAGGTACTTATCCTGGTCTCCCATGGAGTGCAGGGCCCAAGCACTTGGGCCATCCTCCACTGCACTCCCGGGCCACAGCAGAGAGCTGGCCTGGAAGAGGGGCAACCGGGACAGAATCCGGTGCCCCGACCGGCACTAGAACCCGGTGTGCCGGCGCCGCAAGGCGGAGGATTAGCCTAGTGAGCCGCGGCGCCAGCCCGACACGATGCCCACCGTGGGAGGCAGTGGTGATGGCCCAAGCACTTGGGTCCCTGCCACCCACATGGGAGACCTGCATGGAGTTCCCTGCTCCCAGCTTTGGCCTGCCCCGCCCTGGCCATGGTGCATTTGAGGAGTGAGCCAGCAGATGAAATCTCTCTGTGTCTCTGTCTCTTTACCTCTCAAATAATTAAAAAGTAAAACAGTCCATGGAAAGTGCACTCTATCTTTTAATTCCATCTTCCACAAGCTTTGGGGAGCCCCATCGTATGTCCCCTAGAGAACGGTCTTCCCCACCTGGCCAGGATGAGCGGACATGCCACCTGCTTTGCTGGGGGAAGTCTCAGCGCTCACCCCCCCCAAGCCCACTCAGCTCCCTTGCTGTCGCTGGGGTCTGCCCTAGGTGACGGGCTCGGGGTGAGGAAGGGCCGCACCCCAGCAGGAGGCAGGCGGTGCAGGGGTGCGTGGGGTGCACAGGCTGACCTCTTCTGTGCTTTGCAGCCTCCTGCTCGCCGCGCTTGGAGAGGCCCTGCTGGTTTTCTCCGAGCGGAAGGGCTCCTAGAGACGCCGGACAGCACGCCTGGGTCCTGGAGCCCCTGCTGCGGGTGGCGGAAAGAACACAGGGACAGTGAGACCAGGCCAGGAGAGCCCGTGACCTCCGCGTGCCCTGCCAGAGCTGAGTGCGATGATCGGTCATGCAAGGAGAACTTCCGGGGTCTCGTGTTGGAGCACACAGTTCTGCAAAAACTGGACAGTGAGGATTTCACTGTGATGGCTCCACTCGCCCCAACTGACCCGCGGGCCTCTGCCTACTCACCGCCCTCCACTGCTCCCAGGGTGTTCTCTTGTGTTTTTTGTTTCATTTTTTTTTGTGTCTGGGGCCGTCCTTTGCTTGCTCTAGCCCTGGCTTGCCTGGATCCCACACCTACTCATGCATGAGCATAGAGCAAACGGCACATGAGGGCTGCCCTTTGACAAACCTGGGCACACATGGAGGCTGGGCAGGGGGAACTGTGGGCCAAGGAAGAAGCCGGCAAGGATGCTGTAGACTCTGGAGTGAGTGACAGTCTTTTTGGTTGATGTTGCTGTTTATTTCCTGCTTCCAGACTTCTCTTTGTTTCTGTAAACTTGTGTGTTGTCTTGCATTCCACATACTCTTTTTCACCCACCTGGTTAAGCTAGTACTAAATGATCACCAGAGGGAACAGGCTTATACGCATTGATGAGTGTCCTCCATGGACAGGTCACAAAAACAATATTTAACTTCTATGTGCATACACAGGCACACACATGCGCATTTATATTTATATTCCTTAAAACATTTAATCATTTAATTCTCTGATCTCTGAGAGGAGGTTTCAAATCATTGAACAATGAAGTATATATTTCAGGCCAGATTAAAAATTGGATGGGGGCTGGTGTTATGATGCAGCAGGTTAAACCACCTCTAGATGTGCCGGCATCCCACATTGGAGTGCCGGTTCGAGTCCCAGCTGCTCTGCTTCTGATCCAGCTTCCTGCTAATGGCCTGGGAAAGCAGCGCAAGATGGCCCAAGCACTTGGGCCCCTGCCACCCATGTGGGAGACCTGGATGGAGTTCCCGGCTCCTGGCTTTGGCCTGGCTCCCCTTCAGCATCCAGCACCACGCCCTGGGAAGAAGGAAGTCAGCTCAGGCAGGGGCCCTTTTGCTGCAGGTTTTCCCCAACTTGTTGAAAAACACAAAGGAAACAAGCAGGAATGGATTGTTATATTTGAGTACCTTAGTTTCATTTCATTGTGATTCCGTAGTGTCTGCTTATCAGTCAAGGTAAAGATACTCAGAGTGAGCTCTACACATAGGTGGGGTCTTCACAAAGTTCACGGACAATGCACATTATGAAAAAAACAGAGCCATGCATGGATTTCAAAACTTTTTTGCACTGAAGTTTCATTTCCTTTTTCCACAATCTTTTTTTTTTTTTTTTTTTTTTTTTGACAGGCAGAGTAAGAGAGAGAGATAGAAAGGTCTTCCTTCCATTGGTTCACCCCCCAAATGGCTGCTACGGCTGGCGCACTGCACCTATCCAAAGCCAGGAGCCAGGTGCTTTTTCCTGGTTTCCCATGCGGGTGCAGGGCCCAAGCACTTGGGCCATCCTCCACTGCCCTCCCGGGCCACAGCAGAGAGCTGGACTGGAAGAAGGGCAACCGGGACAGAATCCGGTGCCCCAGCCGGGACTAGAACCCAGAGTACTGGCGCCACAGGCAGAGGATTAGCCTAGTGAGCCATGGCGCCGGCCTCCACCATCTTTTTGAAGTCCACTTTTGTATAGTTTGCAACTTGCTTCATCGGGTTGCCTAACTTTTCATAGACTGACGATTAAGTAGAAAATCTGGCTTCAGAAGTTTACTTATTCTTTAGCTGCCCCCTGACCCGCACAGCAGGACCAGTTTCCACTCCAGAAAGTGGCATCCGTCCAGGTCCCTGTTTGTCATGTGACCATCAGGACTTGTGAAGCCCTGCTCCTGTTTCCAGCAGCACTGACCTCAAAAAGCTCTGCTGTGCTGTTTTAGATCTTCTCCCAAAAAATCTCCAGCAAGGGCGTTTTTGTCGTCGCTTGGGTTTCTCCCAGCATTGCAGGCCCCGTTGTTGAAGTCACGGGCTTTTCTTTGAGAGGAGAGATGGTTTTCTTCCTTCTCCTTCTGTTTCTGTGCCTTTCCCGGCAAGCTCCAACCTCCACCTCTTATGCTCAAGCGCACACACTCAGCCCTGAATGCAGGGCGAGCCAGGGGGCTGCAGACGGGCACAGCACAGGGTACCCCGGTCTCTCACTGTCCGAACCTCTCCTGTCTCAGCTCCCCCAGCAGGGATTCTCCAGGTAGCCCCACCCTCCTTCCACGCTCATGTCCTGTGGACCCCAGGTCAAAGCTGGAATGTTTCAGTTTCTTCGTTTGCACAAATAAATAATATGCCTTCTGTCAATTTGGGGCAAGTTTCTGTATGACTGTGTATTATTACTAATGTGCTATGGGTGTAAAGAAAAATAAACCATTTATTTTCTTGGTACTTTGTCTTGCTTTTTCTTTTCTCCAGCCCTGGCAGGGGAGTTTTGCAGCAAAGGTTGTTGGGATCCTGGGGAGGGAGTTCTTGTGTCTTGCTTGAACAAGGTCCAGGCTCCTCTTACTGGCCCCAGGCCACTTGACTGCAAGCCCCTGCTTGACCTGGGCTGTCAGTCACATTCCCATGAGCCACAGCAACTTGAACACTGAAATGTGTCACAAAGGGCGAAGCAGCCACTTGAGACGCCTGCGTCCTGTATGTGATCCAGCTCTCTACTAAGGCATACAGGAAGGCAGCAAATGATGACTCCAGTGCTTGGGCTTCTGCCACCTTTATGGGAGACCCAGGTGGAGTTCCAGACTCCTGGCTTCGGCCTGGGTCAGCTCTGGCCGTTGTGGGCATTTGGGGAGTAAACCAGTGGATGCAAGATCTCTCTCTCTCTGCCTTTCCGAAAGAAAGACAGACTGTAAAATGTCTCGTAACGGATTCTGTATTGATTACGTGTGGAAACGATACTTTCTTTTACTTGAGAGAGAGATGCAGACAGAGGACTCCCATCTGCTAGTTCACTCCCCAGATAGATGTGTGGCCAAGACTGCTGGGTCAGGCTGAAGTCAAGAGCCAAGAACTCAATCTGTGCTCCCACTTGGGTGGCAGAAACCCAATTACTTGAGCCATCACTGCTTTAGCAGGAAGCTGGAATCAGAAGCCAGAGCTGGGACTCGAGTCCAGGCACTCCCATGTGGGATGCACGTGTCTTAACCGATGTCCTAACCACTAGGTCAAATGACTGCCCCTCAATGATAACATTTTAAATATCTATTATCTATAAAGTTAATATATCTTATCAAAATCAGGTTCTCCTGTTACTCTACCTTTTCCGTGTGGTTTACTGCACAGAAGTAATTTCAGACATCATAGGCCCCTTGCTTGGTGCAGGGAGGCAGCCAGGGACAGGAGTGGAGCAGCAGCCGCTGGAGTCACCAACCCGGCAGAATATCTGAGGCTGTTGGTGACTGATGCCAAATGGCTGCCGAGCGTGGTGCCAGGCACTCGCCATGCTCCACGTCCACGGAAGTACAGGTGACCTTCCCTCCATGTCACCAAGGACATTCCGGGAGATGGAATAACTTTTGCAAGGCCGCCCAGCTGGGTCTCCACCCCGGATCTTCCAGAGCCCATTCTTTCACTTGAGAGTGCCGTGGGAGACTTGGAACTTCCTGTGTATTACAAGGGTTGTCCGTTCTCCGGGAGATGCTGAGATGTGGATTCCTGACTTCCCTGAGGCCCCGTGTGACTGTCTTCTGGAAGGACACTTCGCGCCCTTTGCCTGCATCCCGGCTGCCTTCCCAGAGTGTCCCGCTTCCTCCCAGTGGCCTCCCCGAGGTTGTGTGGGAAACCCTCCCTGGGTGGGGCTGCAGCAGCCAGGAGCCCGTGAGAATGAGACCGCTCTCACCTTCACCATCGTTCCAGGTGTTCCAGAACCACCAGCCACTGTTGTGAGTTCTCAGGCGCTGATTCCCAGGGACTGACTTGCTCAGGTGCTGAGTGGTTTGAAGGTTGAAGGGACAGCGGCAGCCCAGGGAGCCTGGGGGCCGTGCCAGGAGGGGCCACCCTCTCCACCAGTCTGTGGGTCCCAAAGCAGGAAGACGGTCCC